GGCGGCGTTCGGGAGCGCTTCCTGCCGCCCTGTCCTTGTCCCGAGCGTGTCTCTTCCCCTCCGCCGCTTCGCACGTTCCTGCCGCCGGTTCTTCCCTCCCCGGCGGGGCGAGCGCGGAGCCGGGAGCAGCTTTCACCGGCCGCGCTGCTTCCCCGGTGCTGGCCCTGGGCCTGGCCTTGCCGCCCCCGGGGAGCTGTGCTCTCGGCAAAGCACCCCTGAGAAACCGGGGCCCATGGCACTGCCACCCCACTGCTGCCCTGGCCCTGCTGACTGGCCCCTTCTCCAGTACTGAGACAAGGAGAACTGGCAGCACGTCCCTCACTGCTGCCCTGACACCCCTGCTTCTCCAGGCTCATGGCTTTCCTGGGCGTTATGGCCTGTCTTTGGCCACTGAACTTACATTTTGCACATCTTTGCGATATATAGGATGGGTCATTCAGAATCAGGGTTTGTGTTAAACTTACTATGGACTCTGTTCCAAAGTCATCGCTTTCATAGACCTTAACAGCCTTTCTTTGGCCACCCAACTTACTTTCTTGCACAATGTATAGAATGGGTCATTCAGATTCAGGATTTCTTAGCAGCTCTATTGATGTTAAACTTGCTATGGACTCTGTTAGTAGGAACAGTTGTTTGTTCAGTTAAGGAAAAATGCCATGCCTGGAAACCAAAAGCAGAATTGTAAAAAATGGTGCAATACTGACCAAGTAATTTTTCAGCCTTCTGGAAGCACTCTGCTGTTGCACGTTGCGTAGTCATTACACTAACAACTTCGTATGTGTTTCTTTTCTGCAGGCTGGTAAAGAACAACAGATCCAAATAGGTAAGTTTTTTTAACCATTATTGCTGCTATTAAAAAGGAAATAAAAGAAGTAAGTTCAACAAACTAGTTTATTTTCTGGAAAACTGATCTGTTTGCAGGCAAACCTTCCCTTGTGTACCCCCACACCATTACCACCTAGGAGCGTTTGTAGTGTTACAGTGATGTGGCATGACTTGAATATGCATATCCTCTCGTTATGTGTTTTCCAATCCCAATATCTCCTTGCTTCCCTTCTTAAATATAAAACAACAAAAATTAAAACTTGCAGCGTGCTCAGCCTAGCCTTCTGAATATCACAGCAAATCAGGTCTGTGTCAGACACTTTGTCTTCTTTCCTACATTTCTGAATCGAGGAGGAAATGCTTACTCCATTTGGCTAGGGCAAACCATGTCTTCCTACCATTTTTCTTTTGTATTGCAAGTGTTCAACCTTTTATTTTAGCTGGAAAAAATGTGTCTAATGCCCAGGCCTCTTCATATTCTGTTGATGGCACAAAGCGCTCCCTGAATGGCCAACGATAGTTGCGTGCTGTTGCGTTGTAAACTGATATACTTGGGTAAGAAAGCACAGTGCAGCGAGGCTGGGGTCTGTGATGAGTGAGGGTAATGCAGTGAAAGGTGCTTGTTAGTGCTCATGGGGTGCTCACAGGGTGCTTTGTATCAAAACTCAAGTCTCTGAATCTTTTTTAAAGGCAGGAAGCTTCATATAATTAGGAGCACAAGCACACAGAGTTGAGTTTCAGAAGATCTGCGCTCATTTAAACAAAAGGCTAAATTAGTGCTCTGTGTGATGGAAGAGGTTGTGGAGAGATGCGGATGCGGAAGCTTGCACCCTCTCCCAGGGTGTCAGTGCAAGGATGTGCCATCTTACACGCTCCTTCGCTCACCCCCTTGTCGAACGAGCCTTCTAACAAGTCGCCGTTGAGCGCGAGTGTCTGCACACTGCGGTGTGCTCTGCAGCTTTGAGCGAGAGGAGCGGTAGCGGTAGGAATGGACCCCGGGCAATTCTGTTTCCAGTTGCTGTTAGACCTCCAATTCTGAGGTTTTGGTTCAGTTTTTGATCGGAGGTTTTGTTCAGAAAAGAATTTCAAGTATTGCTCTGAATTTTGGAGGTCTCGTCTCAGTTTCAGTTCTGGCACTCCGTTCTTCTGGGCTTAGGTTGATTTCCACTGCGATCACTGAATAATGGGAATTGAGACCGTTAGGTACATTTAAACCTAACTGGCAAACAGACTTTTTTTCCAGTGGTATGCTGATCCTGTGTTTTATTTCTAGTCGTTTCCATGAGAAATGGATTGTATTTGAATTTCAGAAACCATAAGCTATACAGGAATGCGTGTCTTAAATTATACAGTACATCACACAAAATTCCTTAACCTGGAAAATAACTTTCTTCCCTTGAACTTTTTCCTTTCTTTCACGGGCCCAGCATTGCTGTAGTCAGGATCATTTGAGGCACACAGGAACCGCAGGAGAGAGGTGATATTGCATGGCCAAGGGTGATCAGGCAGCCCACATGAAGTCCCCAGCACCAGGTGGGTTGTGCTGTGGAGACACAGATGGGCCAGTGGCTCTCTCTGGTGGGTGCTCCAGGTGGGCCAGCCTCTCTGCTTGCCTTTCCTGGCACCTCGGGAGCTTTTTGTAGCTCATGTGATCTTGCTCTACTCTACTTGGGAAAGGGAAGGTGGGAGATGAAGAGGACATCAGCTGGTGGGTTTGTCCACTCACAGATCCACGAGTCCATGGTCCCAAGTGTCCCATTGTGTGCTTGGGCAGTGCAGGACCCCCTTGGGATGGGATCAGCGTTGGTTGGTGCCCAGCGAGAGCAAGCTGCTGGCCCATCTGTGTCTCCTCAGCACAGCCACACAGCATCTCAGTGGCTTTTGGTTGAGGCTAACAGGGCTGAAAATCTGCTGGCTTACCAAGACCAGACTATCTGCGAGTAGCTCTGGCTTTCAGGGATCAGCGGTGTTTTGTTGAGGGGAAATCTGTATTTTCAAAGCAGAAATAGCTAGTTAACACTTAGAGGTGTTGGGATTTGTCCTGCGCTTTGTGTTTTCAAACTGTTAATATTTCAAGTAAAGTTTGATCTTGTAAATTCTGATTCAAAAAGTATGGCTTACTCAGGTCAGAGTTTTGATGGCGACAGTAAAACCCACGTTAGGACTGCCTCCAGTAGGGACTTTTTAGTCCCTATTAAGTGTCACTGTGCATCGATGTTGTATATTTTTATTTGGCCCAGGCCTGCCTGCTGTCAGCAGCTAATCTTTTCTCACAGTCTGGAAAGTCACTTAAGACAAATTAAAGCATAGAGAATTTGATTTTATTTTTTAAATATCAGTAAGGAATGTATTCTAGAGCTAGGGAGTTACCCAGGCTTAATTAACTGCATTAATGCATGCTGTACTGCAAATGCCTGGAAGGTGTCAGGAGGAAATCCTACCGTTGTCACTCAGGAAATCATAAGCCTGAAGGTGCTGGTGCTCGAGGTGATGCTGTATCTTCACTTCTCCTGCCTCAGCCTCCCACACAGCAGAGCTTCATCACTGCTCTGCGCTACTTCTGGAAGAAAACTCAGGTGTCTAACCTGTAAAACAGCAGTGCCAGCCTGCCCCACAGTCTGGATAAAACACGTTCACCTACAGTTCAGCACAGGCTGTGAAAATACTGCAAAGAATTTCTTGAGCTGTCTGTATCCCTGGGACAAGTTGACAGTGAAGTGAAGGAATGGGAACACTAGAGAGGGGTATCCCATGTGAGCCTGTCTTCTTGCAGTCCCTTGCTTTTATTCATCCAACTTGCAGTGCCCAGCAGTGAAGTGAAGCTGCACAGCCTCATCCCTGCTCAGGTGCGAAGTCGTGTGGGAATTCTCAAGAAATCCATCCCCCATTTCCATCTTGTCTTTCTCTCTGGACGTTTCTGCCACCTAAAGGCAGCCAAATACAGAGCGAACGGTCCTTCTGAAGTCATCCAGGTTGTTCAAAGAGAGGGACTAAAACTATTTCTTTATTTCTGCAAACCACCAACCAACGCCGAAGGCAGAAAACGGTGACGACACAACCCCTGTTAGGGTCCCCTTGTCACTGCACCATCCTGTCTTGTTATTAAGCAGCACTTCGCCAAGCGACTGGAACAGCTCTGTGGTTATCTGTGGCATAAAAGGGTAATCTCTCAACACACAGGACAGTCTTTTTATGTCAGTGCTGTACTCTTAATTCCTACAGCAGCAGGTGATTTTCTTTTTTTCCCTAGTACTTCCACCGCAGAGCTGGATGTCTGCCATCCAGCAATCCGTTTGTACACAGCTTGCGAATTCCATTCAGAAGATGCAGGCACAGCAATACTCTGGAGGTGTTAAGGTAGATCTGATCCTTTTCCCGAGATAGCTGAGCTACCAGACCCTATAAACCACATTCAGATATGTCCTACAAGAGAGGTGAAGCAGCTCTGGAAACTGATGGTTGCTCTCTGGTCATCCCATCATGTCAGTATGGGACAGCCTGGGACTCAACATACAGCGTGAAGCTGGGGCAACTTGGATGGAATTATGTCAAGAGTTCCCACACATTTGTTTCTTTGCACAGTACCTGGCATTGTCACTGCTAAAAAGGGTGGGGTGATACTGGCCCAGGTTGCCCAGAGAAGCTGTGGCTGCTCCTCCCTGGAAGTGTTGAAGGCCAGGCTGGATGAGGCTTTGAGCAACCTGGTCTAGTGGAAGGTGTCCCTGCTGATGGCAGGGGGGTTGGAACTGGATGAGCTTTAAGGTCCCTTCCAACCCAAACCATTCTTTGAAAAGACTTGTGCTCGTGGTTAAATTTTAGGAGGTTTCCATGTTGCTATTCCTAATTGAAATATTTACTAGCAATGTAAAGAGGCAGGAGTGGTTACTGCACATAGTTACTAAGCTACATGTCATTGCCATGGCTCAGAAAGTGTTTGAGAAAAAATGATGCCACCAGCACTTTCACTCAGTGGACATAATTTCACAGGTTAGGACAACAGGCAAAGGAGCTCCCGTGATCAAAAAAACTAACTCATTCACAAAAGTCAGTCCTCTGGCTGTGGTTCAGAAGGCTAGAAAAAGGAGAGTCCTGTTATCAAAACTGATTTATGTGAAGTGTGTAAAAAAAAAAAAAATAAGCAGAATAATGAACACTAGATGTGGTTTAAATACTTAATAAAAGAAGAAAAAAATTAATGTCTCCAAGCTTGGGTTGCTGGGTTTAGACATAGAAATAATTTGTCTTGAGTTTTCAGAAATTTCTGCTTCTCCAGTGATTGCACTGATTTCAGTTTAGTCTGTGCTTTTGAAATCTTCTTTCTTAAGTGGGTGTTTATGCCTTTGGAATTCTACTGTGGACAACCACGTGAACAATTTTTGATCAATATATTTCACAAAATCTGATAGCTAAAAAAATTAATGCTCTTCCAAATGCAGATTTATTAAAAAAAAAAAAAGTTTAAGGCTTTTGAACCTCCATTGTTAACAGTTGTTTTACGGTGCAAAGACAACTGCTGCGAGCCAGTGGTGTTTATTCTTCAGCTTCATGTGTATTTGAGGGGAAGAAAAGTAGGGCCAGGCTTCTTCAGAGGCATTCTCTAGCTAATTATGTTTTGGCACATATTGAAAGAATGTGATGTTCTTTCTTAAGTGCTTCCTTTCAACCTAAACATTGTGCAACTGGAGCAGCAGTTTAAAGCCAGATGAAAAAATGAAGAAAATTTGAAGTTAAGTGCTTTTTCTATTGCTCTGTGTTTCTTCTCTGATCATTACTGTGAGCTTTGAATTAGCAGAACAGAGCGACTCTGAAATTTTAGCATAGGAAAGGGAACACGTACAGCTGGAATAGCATTTCCTGAGACCATACAGTCCATGGAAAAAGGGTAATATAAGTCAGTGGAGGAGTTTAGATGTCTTCAGCGTTCAGTCATGTCACATTTAATTTTAATTGCTTTTGAACAAAAGACATTTCCTCTTCTAGCTCAGCATTTAGAGATTCTGGAAAAGGCTTTTGCTAACACAAAAACTTGACAGTTCTTATTTTCCATCCTTTGTTCTTACCTTCTTGTGGCTAGCTGGCTGTTCTTGTTATTAGCAAAATAACTTTGGTTTTTGTGCCCCTGCAAGTAGAAATCTGGGAATACTGCTGCAAGATGTGCAAAGCCATTTCTCAGTTGTGCGGTGAACACAGAATTTGATCACCAGACTGTGGTTTCTGGCATCGAACATCCTGCTTTAAAAAAAAAAATAAAATAATTTTTAAAAAAAAAAAGCCACAAAGAATCTCAGCGAGGTAAAAGGAGGAATGTCAGTCTGTGAATCAAATCTCAGCGCTGAGGATCTCAGTTTTTACTTTGACCCCCTTAGGATATACAGCCCAGCAGCTCTGTCTCCTGTTCAAGACCTGGTGTCTTGTTAATAAAAATGAGTTTAGAGTTTTAATTTGGTCCCTTCTCTAGGGAGAGAAATTAGCAATCCTGACTCAGAATTCCCAGTGTTTTAGGTGGGAATTATCCTAAGGATAATGTCCTAATTAGGATACCAGTTTTAGAACCTGATCTTGTAGGTGTGTAGCAGAATAGGTTTGAGTTGGCTGCTGCAGAAGACCACGCTGTGCCTGCTATGGGACATGGAGCAGGTCTTCAGGACAGTGGATTTGAGAACGATAAGGAACTTTTCACTTGCCTGGGATATAGTATTTGTGTATTCTGTAAAGATATTTATAGTGCAAGAATGTCAATGTCCATGTACATCCCTATAGTACTATACATTGTTTTTCTGTCAAATCCCTCAGTAACTGGCATAAAAGGAAATGGGAATAAAAACAGTCGTATGAAGCCATTAGGAACATTTTCCTACTAAAGTTATTTGTTGTTGCTTGAGTGTCTTAAAATAAGCAGCCACCAAGAGAGAAGAACTAGCTATTGAGCTTTTTCTCTATTAATTCTCAGTTCATGTGTGATTCACACTGGGGAGTAGGTAAAATTTAGCTCATTTAATTAAGTATATTTATTTGAGGAATTCTCAATGGTACTTAGTGGTAGCAGCTGAGCTACCCAATTATGGACATTTTTAAATGAAAAGTATCAGTAATATCATTCTAATATTGCTTTAGCTGGTCCTCCCAGGAGGAGAAGACCTAGGGAATAATTATTTCTGTGCTAAGTGTCTTTTTAACTCTCACGTAGTCTAATGGACGGGTAATCAGACTTAGGCCCAGTTTTTAGCAGCAGTTTGGCCCACAGCTTGACCTGGCCTGGGAATGTCTCTTCTTCTCCAGGATGATAATTGGACACAGAATGTCCTGATTGCTTCCAGGTTACAAAGGTCAGAAAAGATAAACTCATTTGATGGACTTGTTTTACCGTGGTGTGAAATTACTTTAAGGGTACAGGAAACATATGTGTGTGTCCTGGTGCAGAGCTGCAAATGGGATAAGCACTAACAGGAGAAGACCTTTCTCTGAGCAAAAGAGAAGATTCTCTTCCTTTTCTCATCCAAGCCTAAGAATAGCAGAGAGTGGAGAAGGAAAAGTTTATTCTCTTAGGCTAGGAATGCTATTTTTCTGGACACAGGTAGGGGACTACACAGAAAGAGGCTTTTTTGATGGGTGGGGGGTATTGTATTCAAATTCAGAACCCAAGTGGAAGGTTTCCAGTCAGCTAATGTTGCTGCTAATCAGTTGATGGGTAGGAACCACAAAAAAAAAAAGATAGGCAAATGAGGCTTTCCTTGCTGTTACTTCTTTTCTGCTGTGGCTTTGCTTGCCTGGCCAATGCCTCTGCTAAAGCAGGTCGGTCTTGGGATCACTTCTGCTGGTAACTGCCTGCCTACAGCCTTACCTGGCACCTCTGTTCAGGGATCCAAGGATGCCCTGACACCAATCAGAGGTATTACAATGACTTGTTGGAAGCACACCTTGTGTTCAGGACACATTGCCTCGGCTAAGAGTTGTACCTTGAGCTCCTGTAGTATTCCCTGAGGGTTTCTTCAGTGCTGTCAACAGAGTGCGGTTTTGCTGGGTTCGTAGCTTCTGTGTATTGCAGTGACATGAGGGATTTAGGTACAAATTTGTAAAGTTCTGGGTTGGTTTTTTTTTTAATAATTAGTTTCTCTGTTGTTTTTGAACTCTGTTGCTCAAGTTAGGCAAAGAGGAAGGGCAGTAGCAAGCTGCTGGGTAAGGGGATTTGTTAAAGGAGATCTGTAAAGCAAAAAGTTACTGCTTATCCCACTGCTGCCATCGATTAATTTATCAGCAGTATGTGATATCCACTGGATTCTTTTCCCTGTTTCAATTTTCTGAGACTGCAGAAATAAGTATGCAAATTGCAATTATAACCAAGCATGGCACTTCATTTTCAAAATCTTAATGGAGGTCTTGACACAGGAGCAAGCAATACTGTTTAAGGTGCATGGTGTTTCTTACAAGAGAATTCAAAAGGATCATTGCCTCTTCTGTGGCTATTAAGCAAACCTAAACCCCAGATAAATGTAAATGAGTATTTCAGGGTTTTCTCTGTTAATTCTGTGGAAATAGAGTAATGAAAGACCTGCTTCTGGAAAATTTTGACATGTGGAGGGCATTTTGCATGCACTTGATGTGTATCAGAATCGTTGAATGGTTTGGGTTGGAAGGGACCTTTCAAGGTCATCCAGTCCAACCCCCCTGCAGTGAGCAGGGACATTCTCAACCAGATCAGGTTGCTCAGAGCCCCATCCAGCCTGACCCTGACTTCCAGGGATGGGGCTTCTACCACCTCTCTGGGCAACCTCTGCCAGGGTTTCACCACCCTCAGTGTAAAAAATACCTTCAGACCTTACCTGGTCTGAGTCTCTCCTCTTTTAGTTTAAAACCATCACCCCTTGTCCTGTCACTACAGGCCCTGCTAAAAAGTCTGTCACCATCTTTCTTAGAGGCCCCCTTCAAGTACTGAAAGGTGACAATAAGGTTTCCCTGGAGCCTTCTCTTCTCCAGGCTGAACAGCCCCAACTCTGTCAGCGTTTCTTCATAGCAGAGGAGTTCCATCCCTTTGATCATCTTTGTGGCCTCCTCTGGACACTCTCCGGCAGGTCCATGTCTTTCTTCTGCTGAGGACTCCAGAACCGGAGGCAGCACTGCAGGTGGGGTCTCAGGAGAGCAGAGTAGAGGGGCAGAATCCCCTCCATCGACCTGTTGCCCACACTGCTCTGGATGCAGCCCAGGATATGGTTGGCCTTCTGGGTTGCGAGCATGCGTTGCTGGCTCGTGTCCAGCTTTTCATCCACCAGTACCCCCAACTCCTTCTCCACAGGGCTGCTCTCAGTGCCTTCATTCCCCAGCCTGTATTGATACCAGGGTTGCCCTGACCCAGGTGCAAGACCTTGCAGTTGGCCTTGTTGAACCTCATGAGGTTCACATGGGCCCTCTTCTGGAGTTTGTCGAGGTCCCTCTGGATGGCATACTGTCCCTTAGGCATGTCAACCCAACACCTGTGGTGTGTATTTACTTGAAGCACATAACTGGGCACAACCTCCTGTGTTTGTCCACCTTGGTCTGATCCATCTGCTTTCCCTGAAGTTGAAATGACCTTCCCCTCATGTTATCCCTGGTTTCTTGTACCTTTCTTAACAGAATGATGTGTAAAATGCTTTTCATCTTTCGCAGATACTACACTTGATCTTAGCCAAAAGACTGAGTCTTTCTTTCATGTTTTCTCTGTGTTTGAGTAAAAGTAGTACAAAGCATTTTTATAATAACAATTGATAAGAGTATTAAAAGCCTTGCTGAAGGGTACCCAAGTGAAGGTTCATAAGCCTGTTCCAGCTAAAGAGAGCAGTGACACATGTTTGCCAACATTAGGTGGGCATTCTTATACCCAGACTTGCTATCTAGTAGATAATTTAATGCACACTGCTGTGGTAAGTGGCACTGTCCCCTCTCCTTCTAAAAACCACACAGGTTTTTATCATCCTTCGGCTGAAATAATCAGTGGAGTGATTTAGAGTAGCTCTAACAGGAATCCTAAACTGGGAATTTTGGAAGGGGGAGATGTGAGGCAGAGGAGGGGTCCTGCACACCAGGCGTTTGGCGTTAGGCTGGAGCACGCGGTAGTTGTGGTGTGTTGGACGGTAGATGAGCCACAGCTGGAGTCGCTCTCTGAACGAGCAGAGCCCATAACGGTCAAGGCAATGGTCTGTGGTGTCCTTGCGTTTATTGTTCGTTCTGGTGACGTGTGCTTCTGTAGCTGCACATCTGGTCTTCAGTCTTCAGGCTCATTCCATGCTCTTGTTCTAATTCTAGTTTGGTTTTGGGTATTTCTCTTGGCAGAATTACGGAAAAGCCGACCGAGACCTTACGGGTTAGTGATTCCAATTAGCACCAATGCAGACGGAAGCTACATCTCCAATATCCTCTCTGCCAGTCACCAAAGAAGATCAACGCGGGAGGTGTCCCAGAGCCCCAAACAGCTGTATTTTAATGTCACTGCGTTTGGAAGGGAATTCCATCTCCGGTTGAAACCCAACACTCGTTTAGTGGCTCCCGAGGCCGTAGTGGAGTGGTACGAAGACTCTGTGGAAACTGGAAGCGATGCTGGCAACACGAGTCAGACTAGAACTACTGCAGAGAGATTATGGAAAAGAGAGCCCCTGTGGACCAACTGCGCCTATGTGGGAGACATAACTGACATCCCCGGAGCTTCTGTTGCTATTAGCAATTGTGATGGTCTGGTAAGGCTTCTTTAATAACGTTAATGTCTGGTATTTTACCATTTTGAACATGGCTTTTGTTGCTTTTAACTACATATTGCTAATGATAAGCATTTAAAGAACTTCATTTCTGAAATCCCGTAGAAAATGCCTCGGTAGGTATTGATGTATACAGTCCTGCTGCTTTATTCTGGGATAATTTTTCCAAGTTTGATGAGCAAAGTCCTTGATCTCACCAGTGTGAGAGAGAGAAATCAAATCTGCATTTTGTTGGTTTTCATTTTTACTTTCATGAGGTGTTACAAATGGGCAAATTAATAATGAAGTCATTTTAAGATTTGAAAGATGACCTTTTGGTGAGTGAATGGCATCCATATCATCACTGTGTACTTCTTGGGTAGCAAAATCAGGCTGCCCTGTAGTCCAAGAATAGCAACAGATTTAAGTTTTAAATAATAACATTAAAACAATAAGCATACTTTCTGTTTTCTTATATGCAGTTTTGTTTCGTTAGAAGGTATCATATGAGAACTGAGTGGTTGACATCTATAAATGGTTTGTTCTCGAAACTACGTAGGCCTGATTGCAGTGTGAGTTGAAAACGTGGTATTTCACTGTGGCTTCAGCAGATGCAGCGACTGGCTCGGTACACAAATCCCATATTGAAAGGCTGGGCATATATTGAGTACACATACCATTCGTTAATTCAATCATGCGGTAAAGAAAGCCAACAATACTTACCTTGTACTCTTTAAGTAGCAGGAGCAGTGGTGGAACATGACTGCAACATCCAGGAAGATTAATGTAGTGGTTACTCTACTGCTGTTCAGGAGAGGAATCATATGAACAGGTCTGCAGAAAGTATCCCTTCTTGGAAATAGATTTCCCTCTTCCCGTCACGTGGCACATGTTAATGATTTGATTCCATTTTGTGATAAGTACTGGCTGGCAAACCTCAGTCACTGTGTGAGTAATTGCATACATGTCTCCAACCCCTGATTCAGAGCTCAGGGCTATGCACAGCCAAAGCTCCTTGACTTTCCTTACTTAAAGAAAATAAATACTCGTGGTGTTTACGTCTGAGGTGATCAGCTAATGTCAGTTGGGTGTGGCTTCTTGGTTTCTCCTTTTGTTTTGGGTTTTTTTTAAGGAGAATTATGCTGTGTTTACAAAGGCTATGCAGACATCTGCCTGGATAGATGTAGCTTCAGGTGTAGTTCTCGCAATGAATGAGACCCTCCGGTTGAGAGCTGTAGTTCAACAGTAATCCTGAATGAAGTTCTTGGGAGTCAGCACTGTAAAACAATAAATTGGATTAAATGGAATTAGATTAGGGACTACAGCAGCTTCGGCAGAGATTGCCATGTGGCTGACAAGCTGCTCATGCTGTGTATTCAGTTAACTGAAATGGAGTAGTTGCTGTCTTCACCAACCTGCACATGTATAAGATGACACCAGATACCAGCAGGGTCCACAATAAAGAACAGGAGGTTTCTCTGTTTTGTGGCTTATTACCACCCTTTTCCCATAGCACCCAGGAGAGGCCCTTCCTGTGCTTTCCATGGTTTTATGGACTGGACTAGGAGAACATGTGCTTTCTGTTTGAGAAGGAGAGTGGGTCAGTGTTCCTCAGTCACTGTTGTCTTTGTTCATCTCAACCCAGGCTGTCTCATGCAGTCTTTGAGGGGCTGCTTCAAGCCTCTGAACCACCCACCGTGTAGCAGGGTTGGAAGCCAGTGTCAGAGCACAGACGTGGTGTGAAGCTGTCATGACTCTCTTCCCTGCCTGTGTTGAAAACCATCTTGTGCTTGCTGAATTTACCTAGCTGCTGTACCAGTATTTTGGAGCACTAAGCAAGTGAGTGTGAAATAAATAAATAATCCTGAAGATTGATGAGGTTCCAGATTTTTTTAACATTTTTTTTTGTTTTCCCTTCCCACTAGCTCTCAGGTTAGCAGACATAACTTGAAGTTAGCATTTCTGGCTTCTCTCTTCCTATACTGTGCGTCTCTCAACCAAGCTAGAATGTTTGATCCTCAGTGTATCCTAAAGATGTGAAGAGTGAGCTAATATGGCTTAACAGAAACTGGAACAAGAGTGAGAAATTCTAGGGCTGTGTGTCTGTTGGAAAGGTTTATTTTTTACTTCAAAGGAATTTAGACACTCTGCAACGTAGCCAGCAAGGTTCTTATCTTTTGGGAGACAGTAGAGGGATCACTGTGGTAACAATTCACTCCATGTATAGCTTAAAAAAGAAGTTTGATCTCAGAAGTAACACTTGACTTGCCACAAGTTAGCGAAAGATCTCGGAAATTTTATTTTGTGCTTAAGGAGATTTTTTTACTCATGACTCATAAGACACCTGCTGATAGTGGGGCAAAAGTGGGTGTTGTGCTAACATGTACTTCATAGACATTACTGAATCTCATATTCTTTAATGTTTTCTCTCAGCACTAGATGTATGGTTATGAGGAACATAAGGGTGCTAAATTTGGATTGCTTGATTGTAAATATAATAATTGGCATTTGCACTTAGTAAAACAGGATTTTGCCCATGGCCTCTTCCTGTATCTAAACTTATATTTAAAAAACAAAATATTTGAACGCTGCTGTTTTGAAATAGTTTAGTTGTCTACTTCTGCAGTAAAAGTCATCTGCACGCCATCAGTTTTGCAACTTCCTATCTTCACATCTGCTTCATATCCCTTGAAAAGAACCCTGTTTATTTAAAAAAAATCCCATGCATGTGCATGCACTTGTCATAGCAAAAGGATACTTAATTAGTCATGTAGAAGCTGCCTGTTGTTTTTATTGCTGTGTTTCAGAAAGCTGGTGCTTCCCCAGGTTTCTGTTGTATATTTCTGCCGTTGTTTTGCTCAAAATAGCAATCTCTCCTGTCACAATATTTATAGAGTTTATCAAATATTTGCCAGAGTTGCAACAAAACTTGTAATCGAGTTACAGTCATCAAGCAAAAACGTCCTTCCCGAGTTCACGTGGCACGTGGAGAAGTCCTGCCTTGTCTCACTTCAGGAGGATTGTGTAGCTGTAGTGCCTCAGAGAATTCCACCTGCTTGTAACTGCTGGCTGGTACCTACTGTGGTTCCTGCTGCCTTTATCTGCTCTGTATGTTCAGGTTACTAAAGCTCTGCAGTGGTGGGCTTCTGAAGTTCAGGTGGTGCAGTGGTGATGCAAGAAATGTTGATCCAGCATTGGGAAGGGAAGAGTGCTGATGAAAAACCAGATAGGTTTTCTAGAAGTTTATCCTAGTGTCACGCTGACACGCGTCAGCTGGAAGTCACAGCATCCTTGGGCTCGGTGGGCTTGAGAAATTGAAGCCTATGATCTCTTACCAGAGAAGGGTAAAAGGAGAAAAGCTCTTAATAACTTCGATCTGCAGATGATAAAATTGTAGTTTCACAGACAGCAGCCTAGATTTAAGCCCACTGATTGATCCCTTGGCTTTTCTTTATTTGGCTTCGGTTTGGTAAGTGTTCAGAGGCAGAATATGTTGTGACAATGGAAGGACCTACAATTGTGTGGGCATGGCAAGGCCAGGAAGAAGGCTCTGCTTACCCAGACAACACTTTGGGAGCACGTGTGCTCCCCTCACATATTTGTAGTCCTTACATTCTTGTGTTCCTGTGCCTCATTCTGCCTCCTTCCTGCTTTTCCTTGTAGTGCCTGCGCAGGAGCATCTCTTCTGCTGTCCGTCTCGTTAGGCTCAGACTTACTGCAAGGAGTAGTATTATTAAAGGCTATGAGAAACCTTCCCCCATGAGTTGCCCAGCCCCTTCCCTATTTACATCTGAGCAGTGTCTTCCCTTTTGTCCTCCACATAAAGATCAGATCATTCAACCAGTCACAAGAACTTAATTTGATGTATCTCATTGAGCACATCAGATTGTGTTCGTGGTGCCTTCTCTTCTGGGTAACTGTGGGAACGCGTTTTGTGTGTCTCTGCACTACCTGAAATGTTTAATCTAATGTAGATTGCAAAGCAAGGTAATTAATCTACTCCCAGGTGAGCATATACTGGACAGTGGTTTTGTGTCTGACCCGTGTGGTAGGCTTCCTGTTCTAAGATGCCACAGGAGATATAATGGCTTAGCTATTCAAAGGTTACTAAAGTTTATCTGACCTTGTAATTTGTTGCTGAGAAAGTGCTGGTATGCGTCTAGGGGAGAATATGGTTTAGAAAAGTGGGGAAAATAACTGCAAGGTGTTCAAGGAGGTGGAACTAAGTTCAAAGCAGATTTGGCAGGTGGTGGTTTTCACAGGTTGCTTATACCTGGTGCAGTGCTGTAGCTGCTGTGGACCACGCAGGAAACAACCAGCCTGAAAAAACCATTACAGATATTTCAGATTTTAAATCGACAGAACACAGCAAACTTTGCATTTAGAAATAACAAAGTAGTAAAAGTTTTCAGTCGGTCTCTACCTTTTGTTGTAGAGAAAATCACTTTCTCAATTAGCTCTCTTGCTCTTGTAACAAAACCCAAACAGTTGGTGATATGCAATGCCTTTAGATTGTACCAAGGCTTTGAAATACATATTTATAGATGGGTGCCTCCTTGTTGGAGTCGTGATGTGGTTAAATTCACACATACACGATGCTGAGCGTGGATGTTGTCTTCCATTTCTTACAGAGCATTGACCTTACTTGTTTTGAATGAAAAGGCCGGACTCAGTGCAATGAATCTTTAATCTTTGACTTCAGATAACCAAGTAAGATGTGACTTGTTTTGTTTGTTGGAAAACCATGGCCTTCAAGTCCAGGGCTGCATGCACTCATTTGAAAGTACAATTGCTTGCAAATGAAAGGTCTTGACTAGTCTGTCTGCCCTGTTCAGCTGTCAAACCCGGGAAATCCTTGAAGACAGACTGACTGTCAAGAATTAAAAAACACAAGCTGACTCAGATCTGCCATTTGAGATGGATTATTCCACACTTGCTTATTGTCATCCCTTTTTTCTGAGGATATGGAGACATGAAGAAGCTTGTATGTGTCTCTGCGATCA